CTGTAGTCCCAGCTACTTGGGAGGCCAAGGCAGGAGGATCTCTTGACTTCAAGACCAATCTGGGAGACAGAGTGAGACTCTTGTCTCTAAAAATAAAAAGGCAGGTGGTGGTGGCTCATGCCTATAATCCCAGTACTTTGGGAGACCAAGACGGGCTAATCACTTGAGGCCAGCCTGGGCAACACAGCAAAACCCTATCTTTACAAAAAATACAAAAATTAGCCAGGTATGGTGACACACACCTGTGGTCCCAGCTACTAGGGAGGCTGAAGTGGAAGAATCAATTGAGCCCACAAGGTTGGGGTTATGGTGAGCTGTGATCATACCACTGTACTCCAACCTAGGTGACAAAGTGAGACCCTGTCTCAAAAAATAAAAAAGAATTGACTAACATTAGGGGAGAAGATTAAGCAAGAGGTAGTGTCAATGCTATAGTTTATATATTTTAATAATGTTAATAAATAGAATATATATCAAACTGATAAAAGTATGGACATACCAATAATATATATTATATATACAATCTCACACACACATTGAAAAAGAATCTAGAATAATTTAAACATTTAAACTGCTCACTGTGATCTTTTTCTACAGAACTGTTTATATAATAAATAAGACTATAGAAGAAGAATGAAAATTGTACATTAAAAACTGCATTGTACTCAGGAAATAATTCAAAGACTATCCCCCTTATTCTCCTGGGATTATAAATAAGCTAGTTTTTCTTAATTTCAAATATGCAGGCTGGGCACAGTGGCTCATGCCTGTAATCCCAGCACTTTGGGAGGCTAAGACATCTCTATAAAATATTAAAAAAAAAATTAGCTGGGCATGGTGGCCTATGCCTGTAGTCTTGGCTATTTGGGAGGATCCTTTGAGCCTAGGCATTTGAGGTTACGGTGAGCTATGATCATGCCACTGTACTCTAGCCTGGGCAACAGAGCAAGACTTTGTCTTTTTAAAAAATGCAGAAGATAAAGCAATATTAAAAAACTGATAAGTCTACTAATTCTGACATTCCTTTTAGAATAGAAAATTGCAATTGTTCTCTGTGTAAATTAAAATATACTTTATACATTTATTGCATTTGCTCCACATTAGAGATTCCCAAATCTGGCTATGTATCCAATTGCCTGGGGAACTTTTTTTTTTTTGAGACAGTGTCGCATTCTGTCAACCCAGGGTGAAGTGCAATGGGGCACAATCATGACTCACTGCAGCCTCAAACTCCTAGGCTCAAGTGATTTTCCTGACTCAGCCTTCTGAGTAGCTAGAACTATAGGTGAGCAACGCCATGGCCAGCACCCTGGGAACTTTTAAAGAGTAAGTTCCTGGAGCCCATTTCCTAAAGATTTCAATTTGAGAAGTCTGGACTAGAAGCCAGAAATCAGAATACATAATATAATATAAAGTTCATGTTAGAGTATTAAAGGAATTCCTTCCTACTGTAGGAATTGGTCCCATATTTCAAGTGCTTTCCAAACTTCACTTAACTGTACACATAAATCAATTGGAGGTATTACTAAAAGTCAGATTCCGATTCAGAAGGTCTGGAATGAGGCCTGGGAATATGAAGTTCTGACAAGCTCCCAGGTCCAGAGGCCACACTCTGAGTAGTAAGACCTTATGAGATTTTTAAACCCTTCCACAGGTGAATGATAGAAGTCAGTATCCTACAGCCAGGTGCAATGGCTCACACCTATAATCCCAGCACTTTGGGAGGCCAAGGCAGGCAGATCACCTGAGGTCAGGAGTTTGAGACCACCCTGGCCAATATGCTGAAACCCTGCCTCTACTAAATATACAAAAATTAGGCAGGCATGGTGGTGCATGCCTGTAATCCCAGCTATTCGAGAGGCTAAGGCAAGAGAATCGCTTGAACCCAGGAGGCAGAGGTTGCAGTAAGCTGAGATTATGTCACTGCACTCTAGCCTGGGCAACAGAGCAAGACTCTGTCTCAAAAAAAAAAAAAAAATGAAATAAAAGAAGTCAGTATCCTAGGCGTTTCCCACGGAAATATTTTCAAGTTTTACCTAAACATCCTTTTTTACCTAAACATAACTAGAGTACACAGCTTGCAAAATGATTGACTTATCTTTACTATGTACGCTAGTACCAAGTGAATGGAAATTATTTTCCTCATTTACAGATGGTATCACTAAAAGTTGAGTGCTACTGATGTCACAATGCAGAAATAAAATTAAAATTTACATAACTTTCAATATTATACACAAGGATTTTCATCATAGCCATGGTTACAATAGTAAAATATTAAAGAGAAAACCTTGGCAGGGTGCAGTGGCTCATGCTTGTAACCCCAGCACTTTGGGAGGCCAAAGCAGAAGGAGCGCTTCAGCCTAGGAGTGTGAGACCAGCTTGGGCAAAATAGTAAGACCTCATTTCTACAAAAAATAAAAACACTGTTAGCTGAGTGTGATGGTACGTCTGTAGTCCCAGCTACTAGGGAGGCTGATGGGGGAGGATCACTTGAGCCTAGGAGGTTAAAGGCTTCAGTGAGCCAAGAAGACTCCACTGCATTCCAGCCTAGATGACAGTGTCAGATTACGTTTCCCAAAAAATGAAAAAGCCCTATATATCCAAGAATAGGGGACTGCTTAAATAACCTAGAAGAACCTTATAATGAAACACTAAGCATCTATTAAATAATTATGCAGGCCAGGCACGGTGGCTCACACCTATAATCCCAGCACCGTGGGAGGCCGAGGCAGGCAGATGGCTTTAGCCCAGGAGTTCAAGACCAACCGGGACAACATGGTGAAACCCCGTCTCTACTAAAAATACAAAAACAAAAGTAGCCAGGAGTGACGGCATGTGCCTGTAGTCCCAACTACTCGAGAAGCTGAGGTGGGAGGATAGCCTCAGCCTGGGAAGCAGAGGTTACAATGAGCCGAGATCATGCCACTGCACTCCAGCATGGGCGATAGAGTGAGACCCTGTCTCAAAAAATAAAATAAAATAACATAAATAAAATAAATAAAAAATAGAAAATTGGGGGTGGGGCGGTGGAAGGAGGGCGGACATCAGGAAGAATAGCTAATGGATGCCAGGCTAAATACCTAGGCAATGGGATGATCTATGCAGCAAACCACCATGGCACACATTTACCTATGTAACAAACCAGCACATCCTGCACCTGTACCCCTGAACTTAAAATCTAGAAATCAAAAAATAAAATTTAAAAAGACAAAAAATTAACTATGTAAATAAACACTTACAAAAATATGTAAATAAATATACCCTTACTGATAATGAAAAGACATTCAAGATAAGTGAAAATAAAGAGTGTAAGATTGTATAGAAAGACGTGTGCATATGTGTGTGTGTATGTGTATCTACCAGAAAGATGCATATACTAAAATGTTTAAAGCATTGTACTGAAAGTACTAGAATTTTAGGTGATTCTGATGCTTGCTTGCCTGCGTTATCTAATATTTCTACTACAATGTATACCATATAAAATTCTTAAAGGTTAAAAAGCAGGTGTGAAGAAAATCAAGCAAACTCCACACATACATGTATCTTTTGAAGCCCACTCGAATGGGTCTGACTGATACGTAATTTGCTTTCCAAAGAGTGTTCAAGGGACTCCCTAAATGAGAAGCACTTAGAAAGTTTTTTAAATTGCAGTCTTGTATCCCAATCCAGACTTATTAAATCAGAATTTGTACCAATAGGCCCCATAATTTGCATATGAAGCAAATACTGACTCTTTTATAGACAATAAAGTTTGGGAACCATGGCATTAAACAAAAAGCTTCCTAGAAATTCAGAAACCCAGACTAAATTCCAACCTATCTGAACAGAAACCTACAGCAAATTCAGAATGAGTGAAAATCATGGTGTTTTCATACATATACATCTACACTCACAGAGACTACTGGAATTTGAACAACAAAAACCTGTTCTTAGAAACTGGCTTTATTCCATCTTAATTTTAAGCATCCCATGTGATCACTTGACCATTTCCTATGGGTTGACTGAGGTCACAAAGGTTTTCCTTATATTTGACCCACATCTGTCTAAAACTCTTCTTATTATAACCCCTTCTATGATGCTCTGTCCCTATTTAGTTCTTCATTAATGTAAAGTACTACATGAACATTTATTATGGAACCAAATATGAAGACAATTCAGTCATTCTCCTGTTGCTTTCATTTCTCCTTTCTACACACATTTTAGCTGAATAACTTTAATAGATTCTGGTGATTATTTCTTCCAGAGATACTCTCTAAGGTAAATTCAAAGGCATCATGAGCTTCTATCAATAAAGGTCCTCAAAGAATCAAGTAAAACCTTTCCAGTTCTGAAAAACAGGACATGAACCCCAAAATTTTGTTAAAAGAAAAAGAAAAAAGGTATATACCACAATGAATATATTTCCCTATCACACTCTCAAGTACTTAGTATGACAATCAACTCATAAGTCACTTATTTATGAAGTTTTCAAAAGGAGACATTAAGAATTTGGGGACTTTCCTAAAGCTAACAAATTAAAACAATTTTTCCAAAAGAAAGTCATGATAGGCCAGGCACCATGGCTCACGCCTATAATCCCAGCACTTTGGAAGGCCAAGGTGGGAGGATCACCTGAAGTCAGGAGTTCAAGACCAGCCTGGTCAACATGGTGAAACCCTGTCTCTACTTAAAACAAAACAAAACAAAACAAAAAATTAGCAGGGCGTAGTAGCATGTGCCTATAATCCCAGCTATTCGGGAGGTGACAGAGCAAGATTCCACCTAAAAAAAAAAAAAAGCCATACAGATTTTTTCCCCCTCTAAAACAGAAAACAACAGGAGAAAAAAAAAATTTGGTGTAAGTTCCTAAGAGGATATAAGAAAGGACCATAATTTGTAGGATGTGAGGGACAAGCCCTTCATTTTGTTTTAATCCATGATACATTTTAATCATGGATCACACAGAAGGCCAGGCCAGCTAAAACTTGAATTTATTATAACCCAGAAGATTATATACTTACCTGCAGCTCACACCAAGCAACCTCAACCCATGTTTCAGTGTCCAGTCCTTTATACACTGTTTTAAATGCTCCTCTTCCTAGTTCTATGTCAAATTTCAGGAATCTGCCACTAGGAGAAGTAGCTACAGCCTTCATTTCTGCTTCTTCTTCCATTTCCTTTTCATTTTTCTCCTTGAAACAATCTTTTGAGATTTCCGAGGTTGACTTTGAACACTGTTCATATTTAACTTCTTGTCCACCTCTCAGCACATTTGAAGGAAGTTTATCTACTCTTGGAATATTCGTCGCAGCCTTTATTCTCTCATCTTTCAGGGACGATTTGGCAACTTTGTCATCTTCTGTCATTTCAACACTCTTTCGGAAAAATCTCTTCCTTTCTACGGTTTCCCCAGAAGCAGAGAAGGTGCTGGTTTTCTCCTTTAGTCTAGCGTCTACTGTCAAAGTTGCAGCAACCTGAGGAACTCTGTTTTCAAGTGAAATTCCATCAGGTTTCTCAGAATCTTCTGTGCTGGCTGGATCTCCTGAATCAGTGGCCATTGTAATTAAAGTTGGCACTAAAATTTTTCCTGTTTCTAGTCTTCAGTCCAGTTACATCTCAGGTATCAGAATTATTAGAATGGACTTCCTTTTGTGTGGTCATATATTTCCATAGCAACCTGAAGGGGGGAAAAGGATATTTTAAAATCACCCTACAAAGGAAATCATTAAGGAAAAAATAAGTCACCTGATTTTTAATCCTTTTTTCCTTAATAAGAAGTTTATTCTTTTTTCTGTCCAATCTTAGCAACCAGCAGGCTCTAGGGACTGTGTCTTATCTTGTTTACCATTAGTCCTCAGTGCCTAGTAGGCTACTTAGTATACACCTTGATCCGTCTTCATATTGCATGAATATTCGTTAGAAACCTAGTTCTCAGCTCCATCTGTCAATCCATCAAATTCAAACAATACCCAAACCCTGAGTTCGCTTAGCCACAAGGTGACAAACACAATAAGTAAAACAACCACATGGTTTCTAGGTGGTTTTTGTCTAAAATTCCGGAATTCATCAATAGTAGTTTCCTTTATTGTACTAAAATATACATAACGTCAAATTTACCATTTTTAAGTATACAATTCAGTGGTGTTAACTACATTCATAGTGTTGCACAATCATCACTACTATCCATGCCCAGAGCTTTTTAATCATCCCAAATTGAAACTCTGTACCCATTAAACAATGATTCCCTGTCAGCTCTCACCCACCCCTGGTAACTTCTACTTTCTGTCTCTACGAATTTGCTTATTCTAGGTAATTCATATAAATGTAATCAGACATTTGTCCTTTTGCGTCTGGCTTATTTCACTTAGTATAGTATTTTCAAGGTCCACTGATGTTGTAGCATGCATCAGAATTTCATTCCTTTTTAAGGCTGAATAATATTACATCATATTAGTTATAGACCACATTCTGTTCATCTCATTCATCTGTCAGTGGATTAAATTGTTTCCACCTTTTGACTGTTGTGAATGTTGCTGCTATAAACATCTGATGGTAATTTTAAATAATGCAAATATTTATTTTTTTTTTTTGAGACAGAGTTTTGCTCTTGTTACCCAGGCTGGAGTGCAATGGCGCGATCTCGGCTCACCGCAACCTCCGCCTCCTGGGTTCAGGCAATTCTCCTGCCTCAGCCTTCTGAGTAGCTGGGATTACAGGCACGCACCACCATGCCCAGCTAATTTTTTGTATTTTTAGTAGAGACGGGGTTTCACCACGTTGACCAGAATGGTCTCGATCTCTTGACCTCGTGATCCACCCACCTCGGCCTCCCAAAGTGCTGGGATTACAGGCTTGAGCCAATAATGCAAAGATTTATAAGCTTACCTTCAGATTTTAACAGAAACTGTTGTCAAATATTAATATACCATCCTAAAACAATAGCAAGAAAGACTCAAAACCATGTATTCTTTTAAACTAGCAATTCTACTTATAGGAACTTGCCTTAGAAAATAGTCAAGAATCTGTGCAAAGATTTAACTATAAAGATGTTCATTCTAGCACTTATGGAAAAAACAAAACATAAGCCTAAGTGGTGTTTAAGTATCTCAAAATGAGGTATGCCACAGCAATAAAAATAACACTGTAGGCTGAAAGCAGTGACTCACACCTGTAATCCCAGCACTTTGGGAGCCCAATGTGGGTGGATCACTTGAGGTCAGGAGTTCAAGACCAAACCAGCCTGGTGTAGTGAAACCTTGTCTCTACTAAAAATACAAACAAAAAAAAAATAGTAGGGTGTGGTGGCAGGCGCCTGTAATCCCAGCTACTCAGGAGGCTGAGGAAGGAGAATCACTTGAACCAGGGAGGCTGAGGTTGCAGTGAGCCGACACTGCGCCACTGCACCACTCCAGCCTGGGCGACAGAGACTCTGTCTCAAACAAACAAAAAAACACACTGTAGTCTTCAGTGAGATAAAAGACTTCCCTATATATTATATGGTTAAATGTAAAAAGGAATACATACAAGCTTACAGACATAACTCTGGAGTTAGGGATTTTTCTTCCTGCTCTTTTTGTATTTTCTAAAACTTTGGACAATAAACATGTGAAAATATGTGGAAAAAAGTTTTTCAAGTGAGTGGTTAAACCACCAATATGAAAATGCTTCCCTTCTCACCACAATCACAACTGCAAAGTTAAGCCTGTATATTTCTTACTATGTTAAGGTACCTCGAAAAACACAATTTGTCAAAAAAAATTGTTGAGAATTAAGTCAAAGAGGCCAGGCACGGTGGCTCACGTCTGTAATCCCAGCACTTTGGGAGAACAAGTCGGGCGGATCACTAGGTCAGGAGTTTGAGACCAGCCTGACCAACATGGTGAAACCTCGTCTCTACTAAAAATACAAAAATTAGCTGGGCATAGTGGTGCGCACCTGTAATCCCAGCTGCTCAGGAGGCTAAGGCAGGAGAATTGCTTGAACCCGGGAGGCAGAGGTTGCAGTGAGCTGAGATAAAGCCACTGAACTCCAGCTTGGATAACAGAGCGAGACTCCACCTCAAAAAAATAAAATAAAAATAAACAAAAGAGAGACAAATACTCCAAGTCGTTCAACACATTCAACTCACTTCAACAAAATTTCAGCTGGTTTCTTTGCAGAAAACATCAAGCTAATCCTAAAATGCATACAGAATTTCAAGGGACCCATAATAATCAAAGCTAGCATAATCTTGAAAAAGAACAAATTTGGAGGACTCACACTTCTTGATTTTAAAACCTACTATAAAGCTACAGTATTGAGACAGTATGGTCCTAGCATAAGAATAGATATATAGACAAATGGAATAATAATTGAATTCAGAAATAAACCCATATTATTTATAGTTTATTGATTTTCAACAAAAATGACCAGATGCGGTGGCTCATGTCTGTAATCCGAGCACTTTGGGAGGCCAAGGAGGATGGATTGCCTGAGCTCAGGAGTTCGAGACTGGGCAACATGATGAAACCCTGTCTCTACCAGAATACAAAAAAATTAGCCAGGTGTGGTGGCCGGCGCCTGTTGTCTCAGCTACTCGGGAGGCTGAGGCAGGAGAATCACTTGAACGCGAGTGGTGAAGGTTGTGAATCGCTTGAACCTGGGAGGTGGAGGTTGCAGTGAGCTGAGATCTCACTGCTGCACACCAGCCTGGGTGACAGAGTGAGACTCAGTCTCCCTGCCACCAAAAAAAACCCCACAAGGTTACCAAGAAAATTCAGTGGGGGGGGTGGGGCGCGGTGGCTCACACCTGTAATCCCAGCTCTCTGGGAAGCCGAGGCAGGCGGATCATGAGGTGAAGAAATAGAGACCATCCTGACCAACATGGTGAAACACCATCTCTACTAAAAAAATATAAAAATTAGCTGGGTGTGGTGGCGCACACATGTAGTCCCAGCTACTCAGGAGGCTGAGGCAGGAGAATTGCTTGAACCTGGGAGGCGGAGGTTGCAGTGAGCTGAGATCATGCCACTGCACTCCAATCTGGCGCCTGGCAACAGAGCAAGACTGTCTCAAAAAAAAAAAAAAAAAAAAAAGAAAGAAAAGAAAAAAATTCAGTGGGGGAAAAGAATAGTCTTTCCAACAAATGGTACTGGGACAACTGGATATCCACATGCAAAAGAATGAAGTCAGATCCTCCAGTAAGGTTTTCTGAAAAAAAAAAAAAAAAAAAAAAAAGCCTGAGCTGAGTCTCAAAGAAAGATAATTAGCTGATCCAGGCAGAGGGAAGATTACAAGCAAAGGCATTAAACAGGCCGTGTGCAATGGCTCACGCCTGTTATCCCATCACTTTGTGAAGGCAAGGCAGGTGAATCAACTGAGGTCAGGAGTTCGAGACCAGCCTGTCCAACATGGCGAAACCCCGTCTGTACTAAAAATGTAAAAAATTAGCCGAGCGTGGTCGTGGGTGCCTGTAATCTCAGTTACTCAGGAGGTTGAAGCAGAATCGCTTGAACCCGGGAGGTGGAGGTTGCAGTGAGTCAAGATGGTACCACTCACTGCACTCCAGCCTGGGCAATAAGAGCAAAACTCTGTCTCAAAAAAAAAAAAAAAGAAAGAAAGAAAGGCATTAAACAATATGGAGTAAGTATATTAGTGGTATCATGAGCAGTTGTTTACATGCATATCAGAAGCAGGCAGATGAGGACAGAGAAGCAGATAGACACTTTTATGTCATACAATGTAAAACAAGGAGATCCATTAAAAAGCTACTCTAACAATCCAAAAGAGATGATGAGGTTTGAATGAAAATAGTGGCAGGAGGGATATGTTTAAGACACACTAAGGAACTACTAAATGCAAGAAAATTTACTATCTGAATGAATATAGCTGTGAGGGAAAACCAAGAGTCTTACAGTGACTCACAATAATTTGCCAACCAGATGACATTACTAGGACAGATCTATGTTAATACCAAAGCTAAGAACTGAACTCATGAAGGTCTTTATGAGGTTACATTGCCAAATCAATATACTTCCAAAGTCACTTAATAAGACTAGTATTGCAAGCAAGTGAAAAAAGACAACTAGTTTAACTCTTTATTTATTTTTTTTTTTTGAGACAGAGTCTTGCTCTGTTGCCAGGCGCCAGGCTAGAGTGCAGTGGTGCGAGCTCGGCTCACTGTAACCTCAGCCTCCTGGGTTCAAGCAATTCTCCTGCCTCAGCCTCCCGAGTAGCTGGGACTAGAGGCACACGCCACCACGCCCTGCTAATTTTTGTATTTTTTAGTAGAGAGGGGGTTTCACCATATTGGCCAGGATGGTTTCCATCTCTTGACCTCGTGATCCACCCGCCTCAGCCTCCCAAAAGGCTGGGATTACGTGCGTGAGCTATTGCAACCGGCCTTAACTCTTTATTTTGAAGTGATTTTTAATTTCGGGAAGAAAACCTGCAGGAGTATAAAAAGAATCCAGTATTCACCCACGTTCCCCAAATGTTAACTATTTTAGGTGAGATTTTAAACCTCAAGAGCAAAAATCCACAAGTAAGACAAAAGGACTTCTAAGCAAGGAGCCAAATATAGTTAAGTCAGAGAATTTAAGTTGGAAAGTCTTCAAAATTTTTTTACTACAGAACCTATTTTAAAAAATAAAATCTTTGGCCAGGCACAGTAGCTCATGCCTGTAATCCCAGCACTTTTGGAGGCCGAGGTGGGCAGATCACGAGGTCAAGAGATTGAGACCATGGTGAAACCCCATCTCTACTAAAAAATACAAAAATTAGCTGGCCATGGTGGGGCGTGCCTGTGGTCTCAGCTACTCGGGAAGCTCAGGCAGGAGAATTGTTTGAACTCAGGAGGCGAGGTTGCAGTGAGCAGAGATCGTGCCACTGCACTCCAGCCTGGTGCCTGGTGACAGAGCAAGACTCAGTCTCAAAAAAAATTAAACAAATAAATTAAATTAAATCTTTGAGACTGGGTGCAGTGGATTATGCCCAGGATTAATCCCAGATACTCAGGAGGCTGAGGCACAAGAATTGCCTGAACCCAGGAGGCAGAGGTTGTAGTGAGCCGAGATCACATCATTGCACTCCACACTGGGGAACAGAATGAGACTCTGGTCTCAAAAATAAATAAAATAAAATAAAATATTTGGCCAGACACAGTGAATGGCTCACACTTGTAATGCCAGGAATTTGGGAGGCCAAGGAGAGAGGATCGCTTGAGCCCAGGAATTTGAGACCAGCCTGGGCAATATGGCAAGACCCCATCTCTACAAAAAATTACAAAAGTAACTGGGCATGGTGCCATGTGCCTGTAATTCAAACTCCAGGAGGTTGAGACAGGAGGATCCCTTGAGCCCGGGAGGACAAGGTTGCCATAAGCAGTGAGTGAGCCACTGCACTCTAGCCTAGATGACAGAGAGACCTTGTCTCAAAAAATAAAATAAAATAAATAAAATAAAATCTTTGCCTTCAGGTCCACGGTGTTGGGAAAAAAATTTTTTTTTTAATTTAAAAACAATAGGCTGGGCTGGGCATGGTGGCTCACACTTATAATCCCAGCATTTTGGGAGGTGGGGGCAGGTGGATTACCTGAGATCAGGAGTTCAAGACCAGCCTGGCCAGCATGGCGAAACCCTGTCTCTACTGAAAAATACAAAAATCAGCCAGGTTTTTTTACAGGGTTGCACATGCCTGTAATCCCAGCTACTTGGGAGGCTGAGGCTTGAGAATTGCTTGAAGCTGGGAGGCAGAGGTTGCAGTGAGCCAAGATCACATAACTGCATTCCAGCCTGGGCAACAGAGCAAGAATCTGTCTCATAAAAAATATTATTGCAATAGGACTATTCTTTAAAAAATAAAAAAATAATTAAAAAAAAATACTTAGACAGGCATGGTAGCATTCATCTGTCATCCTAGCTACTGGGGAGGCTGAGGTGGGAGGATCACCTGAGCCTGGGAGGTTGATGCCACAGTGAGCCACTATAGTCTAACCTGGGTGACAGAGTAAGGCCCTGTCTCAAAAAAATTAATTAATTAAAACAAAATAAAATCTTATTCAGACCCCTAATATAACAGAAGAGCGGCAAGTACTGGTGCTCTGGTATAATAATTCTAACACCTGGCTTCCCTAAGTATAGGATAAGAAGCAAATAAGGGTGAAGCACGGTGGCTCACGCTTGTAAACCCAGCACTTTGGGAGGCTGAGGTGGGTGGATCACCTGAGGTCAGGAGTTGGAGACCAGCCCGCCCAACATGGTGAAACTCCGTTTCTACTAAAAATACAAAAATTAGCCAGGTGTGACTGTGCGTGCCTATAATCCCAACTGCTCAGGAGGCTGAGGCATGAGAATAGCTTGAACCTGGGAAGAAAAGGCTGCAGTGAGTTGAGATGGTGCTACTGTACTCCAGCCTGGGCACAGAGCAAGACTCTGTCTCAAGAAAAAAATAAGCAAATAAGAAGGATGAAAAAAGGATTCTCTCAGTCCTTTTAAAAACCAGTACCCTAAGACAAAAATATGTCACTAGAGACAAAGGGGGCATTTTATACAGATAAAAGAGTTAATTCATCAAGACAATATAACATATACACATCTAACAACAGAGTCCCAAAATACATTTAATAAAAACTGGAAAAATAGATAATTCAATAATAGCAAAAGATTTCAATACCCCACTCTCAATAACAGAGAGAGTAACTAGACAGAAAACCAACAAGTATATGAAAAACTTGGTCAATACTATCAACCAACTTGACCTAAGTGACATATATAGAACATTTCACCCAACAATAACAAAATAGACATTCTTTTCAAGCACACATAGAATTATTCTCTGAAAAAAAAATCATATGCTATGCAATAAAACAAATCTCAATAAATTTAAAGAGATTGAAATCATACAAAGCATGCTCTCCTACCAAAAATGAATAAATTAGAAATGAACAGCAGACTAAGGATAGGCATATAGGTCAATGGAATTCAGAGTCTAGAAGCCCTAACATTTATGGTCAATTGATTTTCAATAAAGCAGTCAAGATCATTCGGAAAAGAACAGTCATTTCAACCAAACTTGCTGGCACAACTGGAATCTACATGCAAAAGAATGAGGTTGGACCCTGACCTCACTCTATACACAGAAATTAAAAAGTGGATCATAACCCTAAATATAAAAGCTAAAACTGTAAAACTTTTAGAATTAAATAATGGAGTGAATCTCAGTAACTTGGGTTAGACAATGACTTCCCAGACACAACACTAAAACCATAAGCATAAAAGAGATTAAGAAGCTGCATCTCAGCCAGGCACAGCGGCTCACGCCTGTAATCCCAGCACTTTGGGAGTCGAAAGCAGGTGAATCACTTGAGGTCAGGAGTTTGAAACCAGCCTGGCCAACATAGTGAAACCCCATCTCTACTAAAAATACAAAAATTAGCCAAGTATGGTGGCATATGTCCATAATCCCAGCTACTCGGGAGGCTGAGGTACCAGAATCGCTTGAACCTGGGAAGCAGAGGTTGCAGTGAGCAGAGATCACACCACTGCACTCCAGCCTGCCTGACAGAGTGAGACTGTCTCAAAAAACAAACAAAGAAGTTGCACCTCATCAAAATTTAAACTTTTGTGCTTCCAAGGATACCCTCAAGAAAGTGGTGAAAAGACAACCTATAGGGCAGGAGAAAGTATGTGCAAATCATATATGTGATAGGGGATGGTATTGAAAATATATTAAGAACTCAATATTGGCCAGGTGCAGTGGCTCACACCTGTAATCCCAGCTACTCGGAAGGCTGAGACAAGAATAGCATGAGCCTGGGAGGTGAAGATTGCAGTGAGCTGAGATCACGCCATTGCACTCCAGCCTGGGCAACAGAGTGAGACCCTGTGTTCCCCCCACCATACACACACACAAAAAGAACCCAATAACAACAAGACAAATAATCCAATCTTAAAATGGGCAAAAGAGTGCTCGCTTCGGCAGCACATATACTAAAATTGGAATGATACAGAGATTAGCATAGCCCCTGAGCAAGGATGACATGCAA